GGGGTTGGCCGTGAGCGGGAATTGTAACGCGGCGCGCTAACCGTTACACCACCGCTCCCCCCAACACGAACAACAACAACAACAACAACAACCGCCATTCACCACAAAAGTATCGGCGCCTGTGCCACGCGTGTCGGTGCGCTCCGACACGCGAGACGCGCGCCCGCACCGGCACGCACGTGAACACCGCGCACTCGCCTCGGTAGACGGGCGCCGGGGGAGCGCTGGCCACTTTGCGAACTTTGGCGGCGAGGAGGCGGGGTTCGGAGAAGACGGGGATGGCGGCCCGCTCCTCGCCCCGGTGGGGCTCGTCGGCGCCGCCGGCCGCCGCCGCCGCCGCCGCCGCCCCCCCGCCCCGCTCGGCGCGCTGCCGGCTAACCACCTCCCTCAGGCGCCGCAGCTTCTCGTCGTCGCGGGGGGCGCGGGGACGCCGGGACGGGGCCCCGGCCGGCACGCGCATGGACGCCTCGCTGGCGCCTGTCGGCGGCACCGTCCACGGTGGCATCGGCGTCGTCATCGCGACGGTCGCCATCGTCACCGCCCGTCACGGATGTCATCGTCGCAGATGTCGCCATCGCCGTCACAGATGTCATCATCGTCGTCCTTATCGTCATTACAGTCATCATCATCATCATCACAGACACCATCATCACCACCATCACAGACATCACCATCATCGTCGTCCTCCTTATCGTCCATTATCGCCATCACAGACATCATCGCCATCACTGATGTCACCATCATCGTCATCATCTTCGTCATCAGCATCATTACAGTCATCATCATCATCATTATCACAGAAATCATCATCATCACCATCACAGACATCATCGCTGTAATCATTGCCACGTGTCTATTTATTTCACAGCTGAAGATGAAAATGATAGTGGTGGTGATGATGGTGGCAATGAAGGTAATGGAAGTGATGATAATGGTGGTGATGATGGTAGTGGCGACGGCAGTGATTATGATGGGGCTGGCAGTGATGACGGTGGTAGCGGTGGTGATGATGATGATGGTGATTGTGATGGTGATGACGGTGGTGGTGATGTTGACGGTGATGGCGGCGGTGGTGGCGATGGTGACGATGGTGCATGCGAACCTTGGCTCTCGATGGTCGACAGGGAGAGGCCGGGGTCAGGGGCCGCCTCAAACGCCGTGGAGGACACGGCCGCCCTGTCCCAGCCTCCCACAATCCTTTGCGGCGGCGCGGAGTGGAAGAGCCGCCCGTGGTCTACGGACAGAGCTCCACGGGCCCCCCACGCCTCCTCCCTCGCCCCCCACGCCTCCCCCCCGATCCCCTCCACGTCGGAGGTAGGGGCGACGAGGCCTGCGGTGACCTCGCTCGCTTGCATGCAAGCACGTACGGACGTACCGTATGTTAGTTCAACTTCTTTCGCACCACCGTACGTAGCTGACCGCGCCAATCGGAGGTGCGGGGGAAGGACAACAAACTAAACACTAAAAGCAGTTCTAAGGAAATTAATGTTCGATCTCGATGATGATTTAAAAGTGCGTAGGTCCAGTGGCTTCCTATTATCGGAAGGAAGAGCGTTCCAGACAGCTGCAGTGCGTGTGCTTGTACGTGCATTCGTATTTTAAGGCTACACGGGAGATCTTTGTATGTATACAGGTGTAGGTGTGTGCATAGTTGTGTACAGGTGTGTGAATAATGCATGTACGCTTAACTTCTTGTACACCACCGTATGTACAATCGGAGGTGCGGGGAAGGATAACAAACTAAAACACGAAAATAAGTTCTAAAGAAAATAGTTTCTCAATCTAGATGATGATGATGATGATTATTTAAAAGTTGCGTAGCTCCGAGTAGCTTTCCTAATATCGGAAGGGAAGAGCGTTCCAGACGGCCGCAGGAACGCATCCGAAAGCGCCGCGCGATGCAGCGGTGACCACCGCCTTTGTTCGATGGCCGAGCCAAAAGCCGCTGCCGCTTCTGCGAGGATGAGCGGAGTTCACGCGTGATGGTGATGATGACGACGGCTGATAGCTCCTTGACGAGGTCAGCGAGGTGTTGCCGCGGTTCATCGTGGCGAGCACTTTGCGTGGAACGAGCGCGGCCTCGCGCGGCCTCGCGCGGCCTCACGCGGCCTCACGCGGCCTCACGCGGCCTCACGCGGCCTCACGCGGCCTCACGCGGCCTCACGCGGCCTGCGGGAACGCGCCAGCGCCCTGCGCCCGCGCGACGCGACGCCGGCGACCTCGCACGGTTCTTGAGACTCGACACGTTCGCTGGTGTCTCTCACGACCGGCGACAACGGTGCCGTTTGTTGCTGGCCGCTTGGCGTTTCGGGGACTTCGCGGCGAGTTCCCGTGAACGTTAAGGCTACACGGGGGGATCTTTGTCTTTGAGGTCGTGTGTGCATGTGTGGGGAGCGGTGGTGCGGCGGTTAGCGCGCCACCGCTGAATGAGTGAGTGTGAATGTGAGTGTGAGTGAGTGAGCGAGTACGAGTGAGTGTGAGTGAGAAATGAGTGAGTGAGTGTGAGTAAGTATGAGTGAGTGAGTGTGAATGTGAGTGAGTATGAGTGAGTGAGCGAGTACGAATGAGTGAGAGTGAGAATGAGTGAGTGAATGTGAGTGAGTATGAGTGAGTGAGTGAGAGTGAGTGAGTACGAGTGAGTGAGTGTGATTGTGAGTGAGTATGAGTGAGTGAGCTAATGAGTGAGTGCGTATTAGTGAGTGAGTATGAGTGACTATGAGTGAGCGAGTGCGTGTGAGTGAGTATGAGTGAGTACGAGTGAGTGAGCATGAGTGAGTGAGTGAGTATGAGTGAGTGAGTATGATTGTGAGTATGAGTGAGTGAGCTAATATGAGTGAGTGCGTATGAGTGACTATGAGTGAGTGCGTGTGAGTATGAGTGAGTATGAGTGAGTATGAGTGAGTGAGTATTAGTGAGTGCGTGTGAGTGAGTATGAGTGAGTGAGTGAATATGAGTGAGTGAGTGTGTGTGAGTGAGTGAGTGAGTATGAGTGAGTGACTGCGTGTGAGTATGAGTGTGTGTGTGAGTGAGTATGAGTGAGTGAGTGCGTGTGAGTGAGTGCATATGAGTGAGTGCGTGTGAGTGAGTATTAGTGAGTGCGTGTGAGTAAGTATTAGTGAGTGCGTGTGAGTGAGTATTAGTGAGTGCGTGTGAGTGAGTATGAGTGAGTGAGTGCGTGTGAGTAAGTATTAGTGAGTGCGTGTGAGTGAGTATTAGTGAGTGCGTGTGAGTGAGTATGAGTGAGCGTGGGAATCAATTTGAGTCGGTGAATCTGGCACTGCCCCGTGCCTCGCGGAGGGCGTAACCGAGCCGGGCTCACCGGGACTCACCGGGACTCACCGGGACTCACCGAGACTCGCTCACGAGACTCACCGGTGAGGGAGAGTGCTCCCCGCGGCCGATCGATGCCGGCGCCGGCATCGGCGTTGCCGCTGGCGGCGAACGCAGATCCCGGGCGGGCGCGGTGCGGGCTCCACCGTGGTGCCGCTGACGCGTCCCCCACCTCGTCATCTCCCGGTGGAGGAGGGGGAGTGGGGGGAGGGGCGCCTCCAGCAGAGGGAGACGGCCATGGCATGGAGGAGAAGGAGCCACTTCCAGCGCTGAGAGAGACGGAGCGGGGAGAGCGTCACACAGAGAGAGAGAGAGAGAGTGGGGAGAGCGTCACACAGAGAGACAGCGAGCGGGGAGAGCGACACAGAGAGAGTGGGGAAAGCATCACAGAGAGAGTGGGGAGAGCGTCACAGAGAGAGAGAGAGAGTGGGGAGAGCATCACACAGAGAGAGAGTGGGGAGAGCGTCACAGAGAGTGGGGAGAGCGTCACACAGAGAGAGAGTGGGGAGAGCGTCACACAGAGAGAGAGAGAGAGAGTGGGAAGAGCCTCACACAGAGAGAGAGTGGGGAGAGCGTCACACAGAGAGAGAGTGGGGAGAGCGTCACAGAGAGTGGGGAGAGCGTCACACAGAGAGAGAGTGGGGAGAGCGTCACACAGAGAGAGAGTGGGGAGAGCGTCACACACAGAGTGGGGAGAGCGTCACACAGAGAGAGAGTGGGGAGAGCGTCACAGAGAGTGGGGAGAGCATCACACAGAGAGACAGAGTGGGGAGAGCCTCACACAGAGAGAGAGAGAGGATGGAAGAGCGTCACACAGAGAATGAGGAGGGAGAGCGTCACACTGCCCGGTGCTCACTGCCCGGTGCTCACTGCCCGGTGCTCACTGCCCGGTGCCCACTGCCACTTGCCTTGCGGGTGGCGGTTGCTCCGTGAGCCGCGTCGCGTTCGGGGGGGCGCCCCCCACGTTCTCACGCAGAGGTCCACGGGGACCCCGCACCCCCACCGCCCCTGCCGGCCTCACACCGTCACGGCGCTCTAAGTGGAAACAACGGCGGTTGGTGGTGATTGTGGTGGTGATTGTGGTAGTGGTGCTGGTAGTAGTGGTGGTGGTCAGTGGTGCTGGGAGTAGTGGTGGTGGTGCTGGTGGTAGTGGTGATGCTGGTAGTGCTGGTAGTAGTGGTGGTGGTCGTGGTGCTGGTAGTGGTCGTGCTGGTAGTAGTGGTGGTGGTGATGGTCTTGGTGGTGCTGGTCGTGGTGGTGCTGGTCGTGGTGGTGCTGGTCGTGCTGGTGCTGGTCGTGGTGGTGCTGGTGGTGATGGTCGTGGTGGTGCTGGTCGTGGTGGTGCTGGTCGTGCTGGTCGTGGTGGTGCTGGTCGTGGTGGTGCTGGTCGTGGTGGTGCTGGTCGTGGTGGTGCTGGTCGTGGTGGTGCTGGTGGTGCTGGTGGTGCTGCTGGTCGTGGTGGTGGTGGTCGTGGTGGTGGTCGTGGTGCTGGTGGTGCTGGTGGTGCTGGTGCTGGTCGTGGTGCTGGTCGTGGTGCTGGTCGTGGTGGTGGTGGTGGTCGTGGTGCTGGTGGTGCTGCTGGTGCTGGTGGCGGCGATGGTGGAGCTGGCCGTGTCGTGGCCGAGGTTTTGGCGTGCGAGCTCACCGCGCCGCGCCGTCTTGCGGGAGGTTGACGTGACGAGCGGTGATCCCTTGCGCCGGGCCACGGGGCTCATGATGGCCGAACTCGTGCTGAGCGCCGCCACGCGGTTCTCCACCTGCCGCAGCTGCAGCACCGACGCAGCAGCGCGGGCGGCGTCACCGTACAGTCCCCCACCAGGCCCACACCAGACCCACACCAGGCCCACACCAGGCCCACACCAGGCCCACACCAGGCACCCACCAGGCCCCCACCAGGCACCCACCAGGCACCCACCAGGCCCACACCAGGCCCACACCAGGCCCACACCAGGCACCCACCAGGCCCCCACCAGGCCCACACCAGGCCCACACCAGGCCCCCACCAGACCCACACCAGGCCCCCACCAGGCACCCACCAGGCACCCACCAGGCACCCACCAGGCACCCCACGAGGCACCCACCAGGCCCACACCAGGCACCCACCAGGCCCACACCAGGCCCACACCAGGCACTCACCAGGCCCACACCAGGCCCACACGAGGCCCACACCAGGCCCCCACCAGGCACCAACCAGGCCCACACCAGGCCCACACCAGGCCCACACCAGGCCCACACCAGGCCCCCACCAGACCCACACCAGGCCCCCACCAGGCACACACCAGGCCCCCACCAGACCCACACCAGGCCCCCACCAGGCACCCACCAGGCACCCACCAGGCCCACACCAGGCACCCACCAGGCACTCACCAACCCCCACCAGGCACCCACCAGCCCCCGCCAGCCCCCACCAGGCACCCACCAACCCCCACCAACCCCCACCAGGCACCCACCAGCCCCCACCAACCCCCACCAGGCCCCCACCAACCCCCACCAACCCCCACCAGGCACCCACCAGGCACCCACCAGCCCCCACCAACCCCCACCACGCCCCCACCAACCCCCACCAACCCCCACCAGGCCCCCACCAGGCACCCACCAACCCCCACCAGGCCCCCACCAGGCACCCACCAACCTCCACCAGGCCCACACCAGGCCCACTACAGGCCCCCACCAGGCACCCACCAGGCACTCACCAACCCACACCAGGCACCCACCAACCCCCACCAACCCCCACCAGGCACCCACCAGCCCCCACCAGGCACCCACCAACCCCCACCAGGCACCCACCAGGCACCCACCAACCCCCACCAGGCACCCACCAACCCCCACCAGGCACCCACCAACCCCACCAGGCCCCCACCAACCCCACCAGGCACCCAACAGGCACCCACCAGGCACCCACCAACCCCCACCAGGCCCCCACCAACCCCCACCAGGCCCCCACCAACCCCCACCAACCCCCACCAGGCCCCCACCAACCCCCACCAACCCCCACCAGGCCCCCACCAACCCCCACCAGCCCCCACCAGGCACCCACCAACCCCCACCAGGCACCCACCAACCCCCACCAGGCCCCCACCAGCCCCCACCAGCCCCCACCAGGCACCCACCAACCCCCACCAGGCCCCCACCAACCCCCACCAGGCCCCCACCAACCCCCACCAGGCACCCACCAGCCCCCTACCAGCCTCCGCCAGCTCCCCATCAGCCCCCACCCATCACTGACATGGCCTTAGTTGCGTTCGACTTCATTGAGAACGAGTGCGGATCGCTGAAAATCGGTGAGGATTGGTGAGGATAAGCGAGTATTGCTGAGGACCGCCGGGGACTAGCGAGGGCCGGTGCGGTTTAGGTGATGATTGGTGAGTATTGCGGATTGGTGAGCATCAGATGGAAAAGTGCAAGGGGCGCCACGGTGGCTAGGAGATGTTGACTACCTCCCCTGGTATACAGGTGGCCCTGGGTTCGATCCCGACCCTGACACCTGCTGTATATTTGGAGTTTGCGTGTCTCCTTCTCTCTCATCATCATCATCATCACGGTGGCTAGGAGATGTTAAGTACCTCGCCTGGTGTACAGGTGGACCTGGGTACGATCCCGACCCCGACACCTGCATTATGTTTGGCGTTTGCGGTGTCTCTCTCCCCGCGGTCGCGTGGATTTTTCCCCGGGCCTTCTGGTTTTTTGCCCTCCGGTTTTTTGCCCTCCACATTTAGAACCAACGTGCGTTCGGATTGTATGGCTGCTGCTGCTGCTGCTATAAATGTCCACGTGATAAGCCGCTTTGTTGGGCCGTTCTCATTGGTGGCCGGGTGGCGTCTGAAAAAGAGCTACGTAGCTCAGTTGGGGCACTTACCTGGTACAATACAAAAAAAGAGTTTAGTTTAGTTTGGTGCGTTTCAGTGCGGGTCGCCCCACTCACCGAAGCCGCGCGGCTTCGGTCCAAAACGTCTCCCATGGCCTCCGCTGGAAGACACGACAGAGACACGGCTCAACAGGTCACGCGGCCTCCCAACGTCCCTCATCTCCAAACTCCAAGACGAATCAAAATGCCACCGACGCCCGCGAACCGGACCCACGCTGCCCCGATCCCTCCGCTGGCTCCGTCTGATCTCAGATCGCACGCAGCTTGGCCTACATCGTTCACCCCTGCCTGCCTCTCCCCTCACTCTACTCCCCTCCACGCACTCCCCTACCTCTCCCCTCTCACCCCACTCCCCTCCACACACTCTCCTACCTCTCCCCTCTCACTCTACTCCCCTCCACACAGTCCCCTACCTCTCCCCTCTCATCTCACTCCCCTCCCCACACTCCCCTACCTCTCCCCTCTCATCTCACTCTACTCCCCACACTCCCCTACCTCTCCCCTCTCACCCCACTCCCGTCCACGCACTCTCCTACCTCTCCCTTCTCACCCCACTCCCCTCCACACTCCCCTACCTCTCCCCTCTCACTCTACTCCCCTCCACACTCCCCTACCTCTCCCCTCTCATCTCACTCTACTCCACACACTCTCCTACCTCTCCCCTCTCACCCCACTCCCCTCCACACTCTCCTACCTCTCCCCTCTCACCCCACTCCCCTCCACACTCTCCTACCTCTCCCCTCTCACTCTACTCCCCTCCACACACTCCCCTACCTCTCCCCTCTCACCTCACTCCCCTCCACACACTCCCCTACCTCTCCCCTCTCATCTCACTCTACTCCCCTCCACACACTCCCCTACCTCTCCCCTCTCACCTCACTCCCCTCCACACACTCCCCTACCTCTCCCTCTACTCCCCTCCACGCACTCTCCTACCTCTCCCCTCTCACCCCACTCCCCTCCACACACTCCCCTACCTCTCACCTCACTCTACTCCCCTCCACACACTCCCCTACCTCTCCCCTCTCATCTCACTCTACTCCACGCACTCTCCTACCTCTCCCCTCTCACCCCACTCTGCTCCAGCAGCCAAGGCTTCCCGTGTTGGCGACGTGCACGCGTTGACGCTGCCACTCCACGTGACTTTGCATCGGCTCCAACCGTCAACAAACTTTCTCTCAGCGGGAGGTCGCTCATTCTCCTCTGCTGCCCCCAATGTCTGAAACTCCCTTCCCCCAACCCCTCTCTCTCTCTGCTGTCGTCCGTGCTGTCGCCTCCCTGTTCAAGGGGCAGGCTGCAGGCATTCTTCCACTTCGCTCTGCTGCCTACGAGATGACCCAGGGGCCGCTGAACTCGGCTGGTGTGTGGCCATGGAAGACACTCGCATAGAGACGGCGAGTCGGCGTAGACGGGGAGAGACAGGGAGACAGAGAGACAGGGAGACAGGGAGACAGAGAGACACGGAGACAGAGAGTCAGCGAGTCGGTGTAGGCGGGGAGATACAGATACCGGGGAGACAGAGAGACAGAGACAGGGAGACCGAGAGGCAGAGGGACAGTGAGACAGAGAGACAGTGAGACAGAGAGACAGTGAGACAGTGAGACAGAGAGACAGGGAGACAGAGAGACAGCGAGTCGGTGTAGGCGGGAAGATACAGATACCGGGGAGACAGAGAGACAGAGACAGGGAGACCGAGAGACAGAGGGACAGTGAGACAGAGAGACAGGGAGACAGAGAGACAGGGAGACAGGGAGACAGAGAGACAGCGAGTCGGCGTAGACGGGGAGACAGAGAGACAGGGAGACAGAGAGGCAGCGAGTCGGTGTAGGCGGGGAGATACAGATACCGGGGAGACAGAGAGACAGAGACAGGGAGACCGAGAGACAGAGGGACAGTGAGACAGAGACAGGGAGACAGCGAGCCGGCGTAGACAGGGAGACAGTGAGTCGGCGTAGACGGGGAGATACAGCTACCGGGGAGACAGAGAGACGCAGAGGCAGGGAGACAGAGACAAGGAGAAAGAGACAGGGCGACAGAGACAGTGAGACAGAGAGAGAGAGATTCAGAGGCAGGGAGACAGAGACGCAAAGACAGAGAGACACAGAGAGAGAGACGCAGAGACAGGGAGACAGACACAGAGACAGATAGACGCAGAGAGACACAGAGACAGAGACGCAGAGACAGGAAGACAGAGACACAGGGGCACGCGGAGACAGGGGCACGCGGAGACAGAGACACGCGGAGACAGAGACACGGAGATAGGGACACGCGGAGACAGGGACACGCGGAGACAGGGACACACGGAGACAGAGACACGGAGACAGGGACACGCGGAGACAGAGGCACGCGGAGACAGGGGCACGCGGAGACAGGGGCACGCGGAGACAGAGACACGCGGAGACAGAGACACGCGGAGACAGGGGCACGCGGAGACAGGGGCACGCGGAGACAGGGACACGCGGAGACAGAGACACGGAGACAGGGACACGGAGACAGGGACACACACACACACACAGAGACTAAACAAACCGCTTATGATTATTCCACCGGGCAAGGAGACGAGGAGACGGCACCCAACGGACTCTGCCGCACCTCGCGTTGTCGACACCGCAGCCCGGCACGCTGCTGCCGCCGCTGCTGCTGCTGCTGCCGCTGCCGGGGTAAGGCTGGGGGCGGCGGGAGGGGGAGGGGGGCCCTTAGCCCCTGAGCCCCTGGCGGCGACGGCGGCGCTCGAGGCGCGCCAACGTTGGCGGGAGAGCGGCGGCCGCTTCGGCGTCGTCAGGAAGAGGGAGGAGGGAGGACGCCTCTATGCGGGCTGCCCGGGTAACGACGCCGAGTCGGGGGGAAGGGAGGAGGGTGCGCCCCACGTGACTCCCGGCCGCGACGTCGAACGCGCGGCGGCCACCTTGGGTAGGGGGTGGATGGGGGTGGGGGGGACGCGCGGCCGCTTTGAGGGCGCTGGGTGCGTGCTGACGTCATCGCGCGCGCGTCGGCTGGTGGGCTCCGTGCGTGGGGACGTCTTTGACGGGGCTCTCCGCGGGTTGCGTGCTGACGCCATCGCTCGCACCGCGCGATGACGTCAAGTCGCGCGATGACGTCATGTCGCGCAGCGAAACCGGCGCGCGGGTTTGGTCGGGAGCGGGCACGGAGCGCGAAACGGAGGTGAGCGAATAGAGGGGCCCGGGAACGTGAATAGTGGGGGGGGCACACGGGGGGGGGGAACGTGAATAGAGGGGCCCGGGAACGTGAATAGTGGGGGGCACACAGGTGGGTGGGGGGGTGGAGCGTGAATAGAGGGGGACACAGGGGGGGGAACGTGAATAGTGGGGGGCACAGGGGGGGGAACGTGAATAGTGGGGGGCACGGGGGGAACGTGAATAGTAGGGGGCACAGGGGGGGGAACGTGAATAGTGGGGGGCACAGGGGGGGGGAACGTGAATAGAGGGGGGGCACACGTTCTTGGGGAGCGGTGGCGCGTCACGAACCCGCTAACAGCCACCATCACCAATGATGTTTATCTGCACCGGTACTGGGCATTACCCTACCCTAGGTCGACTCAGCCAAAAAAATAAGTACCTGGTGCGGTGCGTAAACATCACCACTGGGGATACAAAGGCGGCCGGGCACGGTGCTGGCCACACCCCCCTCGTGTGCCTGTGTTGCTTTGCTAACAGCACTTGCCCCCAACAGTCTGCTCGAGGCTATACGGGGGATCTTTGTGTGTGGTGCGGCTGCCGGCCACCTCGGTTAACCCACAACACCTGGGGTCTGTCCCGTGACCTCCTGCCTGCAGCGAGTTTTCCGCACTTCACGTGATGTCCCTGCAGTGCACCTAGCCTGGCACAACCGCTGTGGTGACGTCACCGCCACTTAGTGGCGAATGGTGGTGGTGGTGATGGTCATTGTTGTGTTGGTGATGCGCAAAGATGCAATGATCCCCCGTGTAGCCTTGACAGACTGTTGGGGGCAAGTGCTGTTAGCGAGCAGCACCTATGAGGGCCGGAACGGCACACGAGGGGGGTGGGTGGCCAGCACCACGCCCGGCCGCCTTTGTCTCCCCAGCGGCGATGTTGACACACCGCGCCAGCTACTCATTCGAAGCTGAGTCGACCTAGGTGAGGCCCGTGACCGGTTCAGACAATCGTCACCGGTGTGACACACACGCGTGCACGTTCAGGGGGAGCATGGGGAGCTGCGGCGAGCGTGACGACGCAAGTGACCACGTTTTGCCCGATTCTCTCGTCGCCAACATCGTTCCCGGGCACCTCTGCTGGGTCGACCGAGCTTTTAAAAAAACATAAACACCGGGGGAGACAAAGACGGCCGAGCGTGTTGCCGCTGTGAACACCGACGCCTCGTGCCAGTTTTCCATCGATGCCCGCCAACAGCACTTGCCCCAGCGCGCTGCGGAGGCTACGCGGTGGTCCTTTGCCTGTGCCTGTAATCAAATCCGGTTCTGGCTTTCAGGTGAAACGTGGAGTCTTGTGTCGACACCTATTACAGCGCACGGGCTCTTGCTGACTACACAAGACGGCGGCGGGGGTTCTTGCGTGTACGTCACACACACACACACACGTACGTACCTACACACAAAGACAAAGATCCCCCGTACAGCCTCAACAGACTGTTGTGGCAAGTGCTGTTAGCGAGTAGCAGCTGCGAAGGCCAGAACGGTACACGAGGGGGTGGGAGGCCAGCACCACGCCCGACCGCCTTTGTCTCCCCCAGTGGCGATGTTGACACACCGCCCCAGGTGCTCATTTCAGGCTGAGTCGACCTCGGGGAGACCCAGGACCACTTCAGATCGTTGCCACTGGTGTTGGCCGTGAGAGCAGGAATCGAACTCGGGTCTGTGGGTTCGTAGCGCGGTGCGCGAACCACTGCACTACCGCTCCCCACAATCATAGACACACCACACACGCCTGCACATCGACTCGGATAGACTAACACACACACAGACCCGTCTAGAGGCTGGTGGGGCACCCTCCTCCTCTCCTCACTCCTCCTCTCCCCACTCCTTCTTTCCCCACTCCTCCTCTCTCCACTCCTCCTTTCCCCACTCCTCCTCTCTCCACTCCTCCTCCTCTCTCCACTCCTCCTCCTCTCTCCACTCCTCCTCTCCTCACTCCTCCTGCTCTCCCCACTCCTCCTCAATCCACTCCTCCTCTCCCCACTCCTCCTCCTTTCCCCACTCCTCCTCTCCCCACTCCTCCTCCTCTCCCTCACTCCTCCTCCTCTCCCCCACTCCTCCTCCTCTCCCCCGCTCCTCCTCCTCTCCCCGCTCCTCCTGCTCTCCCCCCACTCCTCCTCCTCTCCCCCGCTCCTCCTCCTCTCCCCGCTCCTCCTGCTCTCCCCACACTCCTCCACAGGTTCAACGACCCCCCGTTCCCTCTGGGGCTCCGCGCTCCGTGACGATGAGCCCCGACGAGGCGTGCCGCTTCTCGCCTCATCGCCGCCGTGCCTCCCTGCACGGGCACGGACGACGGCGCTCGTAGATCGGTGGCGCCCGCCGCTCCCGGTGTCCCCCACGCGTGCCACGACGGCCCGGCCCGACCGGTGACGTCTCCGCCGCCGCCGCCGTCGCCGGCCACCGCCCGGCCGCCGCCCGGCGTTGTTTCCCGTAACCGGAGCCGGGGCCTGCCGCTGCGAGCGGGCGGCACCGCGATGGAATGCGAGCCGCGGCACGCCACGGCCAAGGACCCCGCCCCCCTCGGGAACGGCGGCGGCCGTGCCGACGCGGTGGCGTGGACGCTTCCCCCCGGCGAGCGCCCGGCACGGTCGCGCCGCGGCGGCGCCGTCGGCGGCGGGGATACGGACGCCGCTGGCGGGGCGTGCGGGGAGATGCCGGCGGCCCCGCCGGAGGGCGCGGTGGGCGAGGAGGGGGAGGAGGATACGGCCGAGATGCAGGACCCGGCGCGGAGCGGAGAAGCGGTGAGGGGAGGTGACGTGGGTGGTGATGGCCTCCCTTCACGTGGCTCCGCGTGCAGGCCGGGGCCAGCAACGGTGCAGCGGCAGCAACAGCTGCAGAGGCAGCAGCAGCAGGAGGAGGAGGAGGATGAGCAACAACATCAACAGCAAGATCAGCAGGAGCGGCAGACACAACCGGAACAGCAGCAGCAGCAGCACCAGCAGTTACAACAGGAACAACAGCAGCACCAACAGCAGGAACAGCAGACGCAGCAGCAGACACAGCAGCAGCAGCAGCTGACACAGCAGCAGCTGCAGTACCAGCAGCAGCAGGCAGGCCCGCTGATGAGATTTTGCCCACGGCCTCCGCTCGAGCCGAAGCCGGCAAGGGCCACCCCCGATTCCGGGGACGCCGGCAACCGGGGCTGGAGGCGCAAGACCCGCGGCGTGGCGAGCAAGCTGCGCGCCATGGCCGAGCTGCGAGCCGCAGCGGCCTCCGCGGGCGCCTCCGTCGCGGCCACCGTCACCGCCATCACCACCAGCAACACCACCCCGAGCAACGGCGGCGTTTGCGCGTCCGCGGACGACGCGGGCGCACGCCCCGGTGAGGCCGTGCGCTCCTCGCCGGCCCTCCCGGGCCTCGCGCTCGGCCGCACGAGGGGGGCGGCGCCGGCGGCGGCGGCGGCGGCGGCGGCGGCGGCGCCGTCGCGCCTCCGCGGCCTGCCGCGCCGAGGCTCGGGGTCGTGCCTGGCCTCGGGGCCCGGGGTGGACGGGGTTTTCCGGCTCGGTCGGCACAGCTCCCAGCTGAGCCTGGGCTGCCACGCCGAACCGGAGTCGCCCGGCGCCGGCGCGGGGCGCGAGCTCGAGTCGCGGTCGCTCCCGCCGCTCGCCGCGACGACGCCGCCGACGCCGACGCCGCCGCCGACGGCGCCGCCGCCGCTATCCTCTCCGCCGGGCCCCCGTGGGCCGGGCCCCCCCCCGGTGTCGCGCTGGGCCGGCGCCGCCTCCGACTCGCGGCTGCTGGTTCAGCTGCGTGGCAGCCGGGCCTGGGCAGCGCCCGCCTCTCTCCCTTGCAGCCCGGCGGCGCCCGGCGCGCTGCCACCCATCCCCACGCAGCGGGCACGCAGCAGGTGTGGGTGAGCGGCAGGTGTGGGTGAGCGGCAGGTGTGGGTGAGCGGCAAGTCGTGGGTGAGCGTCAAGTCGTGGGTGAGCGGCAGGTGTGGGTGAGCGTCAGGTCGTGGGTGAGCGTCAGGTGCGGCTCACCCACGGCTTGAGCTGTACACTCAGGTCACGATGTCGGGGGGTCGTCGGCAGAGGTCAGCGTCGGAAACTGGGGTCGCGAGGTGAAGGTCGTCCTCGGGGCACAGAGTCGGTGCAGTTTGTGATCGGGGTCAGGGTTGGGTCAACACAGCCTCATTGCGTGTGTAGGATGGAGGGTGTATCTGAACTGTGGTGTGTTAATGGTGAGTGAAGGCCGTAGTGTGTTAATGCTGAGTTAAGGCCGTAGTGTGTTAATGCTGTGTGAAAACTGTAGTGTGTTAATGCTGAGTGAAGACTGTAGTGTGTTACTGGTGAGTGAAGGCCGTAGTGTGTTAATGCTGAGTTAAGGCCGTAGTGTGTTAATGCTGAGTGAAGACTGTACTGTGTTAATGCTGAGTGAAGACTGTAGTGTGTTAATACTGAGTGAAGACTGTAGTGTGTTAATGCTGAGTTAAGGCCGTAGTGTGTTAATGTTGAGTGAAGGCTGTAGTGTGTTAATGCTGAGTGAAGTCTGTAGTGTGTTAATGCTGAGTGAAGACCGTAGTGTGTTAATGCTGAGTGAAGGCTGTGGTGTGTTAATGCTGAGTGAAGACTGTAGTGTGTTAATGCTGAGTGAAGACTGTAGTGTGTTAATGCTGAGTGAAGGCTGTAGTGTGTTATTGCTGAGTGAAGGCTGTAGTGTGTTAATGCTGAGTGAAGGCTGTAGTGTGTTAATGCTGAGTGAAGACTGTAGTGTGTTAATGCTGAGTGAAGGCTGTAGTGTGTTAATGCTGAGCGAAGGCTGTAGTGGCGTTTGGCTGCCCATCACTCACTTTCGGATACCCTTCTGCGGCCGTCTGGAACGTTCTTCCTTCCGACATTGGGACGCCAGTGTAGCTGTGCACTTTTAAATAATCATCTCGATTGACCAACTAATTTCATTGAAACTGCTTTTTTTGTATTTTAGTTTGTTGTCAGTTTCAGTTTCATTTATTTTGGTATAGCCCTGTTGTGAGCCATTCGACTCTTGAATCGGGTGCAACCGAACAAACAAAAAACAAAAACACGAACAAGAAAAACATCTTCAAGTGACTACGTGACCGTGCAAACAGAAAAATCCAGGGAAAAACAGGAAAATATTCCTGAAAAAGCACCGTGCAAAAATCCCAGTGGGATGCAAGTCAAACAACAACAACAACAACCACAAGACAACTTAGATTAAGGCCATCTGTCTAACTCCGTACTACAACAAGCAAACATGGCCAAACCAAAAAACTTTTCGAAATCACGAAAATAAAGCCATAAAAGCAATGTAACAGTGATCTTAGGGACTGTAACCGAATTTTTAACAATAAACTACATAAATAAACCCTGTAGCCATAGCTGGCTGCATGAGTCACTCCACAACAGCAGGAGCATCAGTCGGAGTATACATTTTTTCAATGCACCTTTAAGATCAGCACACTAAATCAAAATGCAGATAATATTTTGCAGCGGTCATCTGGAGCAAAACATTTTATTTTATTTTAGGCCACTGAATAGCAGTGGCAGCTAGGGGTGTACAACTCCTCTAGAGCAGTTTTGAGTGAAGATCTCATAGGTAGTGATTCCAGTTGCAGTTTATTGGCAATAGCATTCCAGACCCTGGGGTCATCAATAGCAAAGGCCCTTCCTCCAGTTTTTGTACGGCAATAGGGAATGTGAAGCTGGTAAATGGGCGAAGACCTGAGGTCACATTTGTTCTTTGAAACAGAGAGGAGATCCAGCAGGTAGTCTGCGGATTTTTTTTGTATTATCCTTCCCCCACACCTCCGATTAGCGCAGTTGGATATGTACCGTGTGAAAGAAGTTCAACAACAACCGCCATTCGCCACTAAGTGGCGGTGACGTCACCACGACGCTTGTGCCAGGCCATGTGCACCTTGAGGCCATGTGAAGTGTCGAACGCCCGCTGGCAGGAGGTCGCGGGGCAGACCCAGGTGCCCCGGGTCGACCGACTCAGATGACTGGCTGATGCACCACCTGTGCCCCCTACTGTGCCAAGGGTCGGGTTACTGGCCTGCGTGGGCCGTAAGGGGATCTGGGGGTGGGGGGTGGTGATGTAAGGGGATCGAGGAGGAGAGTATCGATGGGGGGGGGGGGAGGAACGGGGGATTGGAGAGGGAGGAGGGAGAGAGATTAGGGAGAGTGGGGGGGAGATGGAGATGAGAGGGATTATGGAGAGTTAGGAGAGAGATGGGGGAGATATACAGGTTGGGTTGAGAAGGGAGAGAGAGGTCGTGTAGTACAGAAATCTCTCGGCAACCGCGGGGGAAAATAGGGGGTTAGGTTCCTGAAAACCGCGTGGTTGGAAGAACCGTGGTTGGCAAGATTAAAGGATCGTGGCAAACAGGGGGTTAGGTTCCTGAAAACCGCGTGGTTGGAAGAACCGTGGTTGGTAAGACTAAAGGATCATGGAAAAAACAGGGGGTTAGGTTCCTGAAAACCCCGTGGTTGGAAGAACCGTGGTTGGCAATATTAAGGGATCGTGGAAAACAGGGGGTTAGGTTCCTGAAAACCGCGTGGTTTGAAGAACCGTGGTTGGCAAGACTAAAGGATTGTATAAAACAGGGTGTTAGGTTCCTGAAAACCCCGTGGTTGGAAGAACCGTGGTTGGCAAGATTAAGGGATCGTGGAAAACAGGGGGTTAGGTTCCTGAAAACCCCGTGGTTGGAAGAACCGTGGTTGGCAATATTAAGGGATCGTGGAAAACAGGGGGTTAGGTTCCTGAAAACCGCGTGGTTTGAAGAACCGTGGTTGGCAAGACTAAAGGATCGTATAAAACAGGGGGTTAGGTTCCTGAAAACCCCGTGGTTGGAAGAACCGTGGTTGGCAAGATTAAGGGATCGTGGAAAACAGGGGGTTAGGTTCCTGAAAACCGCGTGGTTGGAAGAACCGTGGTTGGCAAGACTAAAGGATCGTGGAAAACAGGGGGTTAGGTTCCTGAAAACCCCGTGGTTGGAAGAACCGTGGTTGGCAAGACTAAAAGATAGCGGAAAATAGGGGGTTAGGTTCCTGAAAACCGCGTGGTTGGAAGAACCGTGGTTGGCAAGATTAAGGGATCGTGGAAAACAGGGGGTTAGGTTCCTGAAAACCGCGTGGTTGGAAGAACCGTGGTTGGCAAGATTAAGGGATCGTGGAAAACAGGGGGTTAGGTTCCTGAAAACCGCGTGGTTGGAAGAACCGTGGTTGGCAAGACTAAAGGATCGTATAAAACAGGGTGTTAGGTTCCTGAAAACCCCGTGGTTGGAAGAACCGTGGTTGGCAAGATTAAGGGATCGTGGAAAACAGGGGGTTAGGTTCCTGAAAACCCCGTGGTTGGAAGAACCGTGGTTGGCAATATTAAGGGATCGTGGAAAACAGGGGGTTAGGTTCCTGAAAACCGCGTGGTTTGAAGAACCGTGGTTGGCAAGACTAAAGGATCGTATAAAACAGGGGGTTAGGTTCCTGAAAACCCCGTGGTTGGAAGAACCGTGGTTGGCAAGATTAAGGGATCGTGGAAAACAGGGGGTTAGGTTCCTGAAAACCGCGTGGTTGGAAGAACCGTGGTTGGCAAGACTAAAGGATCGTGGAAAACAGGGGGTTAGGTTCCTGAAAACCCCGTGGTTGGAAGAACCGTGGTTGGCAAGACTAAAAGATAGCGGAAAATAGGGGGTTAGGTTCCTGAAAACCGCGTGGTTGGAAGAACCGTGGTTGGCAAGATTAAGGGATCGTGGAAAACAGGGGGTTAGGTTCCTGAAAACCGCGTGGTTGGAAGAACCGTGGTTGGCAAGACTAAAGGATAGCGGAAAATATGGTGTCAGGTTCTGTGGCCTCGGTTAACACTCCCCTCGACGCCCAACTCCGCATCCCACGCCTTCAGTGAACTTGAGAAATATCCACAGCACAGTACCTTGCGCGGACAAAAAAAAACAACCTTCATAGATTAATCGTGAACCAAAAAATTACTTCGGATTACCTTTGACAGTGGCACCGTAGTGAAGTCCGCGCGACGTTGACAAGTGACGACGATGATGACGACGTTCGGGGAGAGAGGGGGGCGGGGGTGGAAGTGGATCTTTTCGTGATGACGAGGTGCTGCCACCCCTCCTCAGAACTTTGTTTCCCCCTAACGACATTTCGCTCGCCTCGCCCTCTTCCTCACATTGGGTCTTTCCCCCCCCCCCTTTTCGCAGAAGCTCTCCAGCGACGTTTTGTGTTGTTACTCGTTGTGGCTAACTAGGGTCGTCAGCTTGTGGGCTTCATACCAACACCGCGACTGAGACTGAGTGCGCATTGCTGGAAGGAGGCGCGTACGTAAGTGGTTAATAATAAAACGATGGGGCCGGGCCACGCGCGGACTCGCAGCTCAGCTCCTGCTGTTGCGGCCCGGTTCCTAACAGGCTTGCGGACCGGTATCGTTGGGGACCCCTGCTGTAACGGATCCGAGTGCGGTCGTAACACGCGTCTGGAATTTGAGCGAGGTTATTCTCGTGAGAGCTTCGGGGGGGGGGGGGGGGCGGGGAGGGGGAAGAAGAGACGACCGATGGTGATAACCATGGGAGGCGATTCCACGGTGGAGCGGTTGCGAGGAAAGAATCGGGGAGAGAGAGAGAGAGAGAAGTGAGGTGACCATCAAACGAATTTTTGGTTCAATTTCTTTAACCAGGTGAGGCCCCACCGAGCGGTGTAGCTCTTTTTCGCAAGCGACCCTGGCTGACACAAATGATAGCGAAAGTGGCTGATCACGTGGACATTTACAGCAGTAGCCAAATACTCTTAAGCGCAAATGTGGACGGAAAAAAAACGGGGCACCCGGAGAAAAATACCCCGCCACCACGGGGAGAGAGACACTGCAAACTCCAAATATACA